GTGTTAAATACAGAAATGGCACACATAACTGAGACTGCGCCTTTTAGTACGGTGTGCCTTATGGTCGTGAAAATATGGTAATATTTTTCACTACATATTGTATTTACGCTTTACAGTTTTTTCTTTGTCAAATAAAGTTCTCAGGCGATGTATTTTTTGTGAAATATATATTTGTTTCTTGCCAAATACCTAAAACCAGCCCAGATCAAATTTCAAAAAATGTTTAGAATAAAATATTACAGCTTTTGTCCAATAACAGTAAAAGTAATATTAATAGTGTTTTAATCGTGTTGCTATGATTGTTTTTTAAAATGTTGATATAAATACTGACTCAATTAATTACTTAATTAATTTACCTTGGCTTCCAGCCTCTGCAAATTCAGCAAGTGTTAGCAAATACTCAGAGGGAAGATTACAATAATCTTGAGTTATGAAGAAAATTTTTGAGTTTTAACATTATAAGTAATTTTTAACCTCGCAGTTGTCGATTGCACTCAATGGCTGGGACAGTAATACAGCAGTTTTGAGCTTTTTGATCAATGTGTGTCTGATCAGCTGCAGTTACCCAACCTGTACATATTAAATGTTATATTGTTGTGCAGAGCAGCTTGATTAGCACTGCAAAGTACCACAATCAGATTGGAATTTTTTTTCAGTTTTTCTGTTTGCGGTCTTTCAACTTGTTCCTACTTTACTACTGATGCATCACACATGTAAATATGTAAAAGGCCTTCCCAACATACAAATATTGAGATAGAAACACAATGTTATCAAAGTATGATCTTAATTATGAAGTTATCTGATAAGCCTTCAGTCTGCTGCGCAAGAAATATGCAGCTGGATTGTTTTTTCAAAATGTGGTATTAAACAGTATTACATTAATAATATGGAGAGGAGAGAGTAAGCTGAGGTGGCATAGAAATCTTTTTTTTTATATCCCCTGGACACCTCCCTTGGAAGGTGTTCCAGGCACATCCCACTGGGAGGGGGCCCAGGGGCCGACCCTGGATACACAGAGGGGACTATGTGTCCCAGCTGGCCTGAGAATGTCTCTGCTTCCCTAGCAAAGCTGGAAGAGGTGTCTAGGTAGAGAGAAGTCTCTGCTGAGACTGCCACCCCTTTGACCTGGTCCTGAATAAAGTGTAGGACATCGGGTACCAGTACATTAGTAAAAGTAACCTGTGACATTACTATGTTCAGGCTCTCTGTCAATGATAATAATCCTAACACTATTTTAGTGCCCTTAACCTAACTGTCCTTGTTTTCTGTGTCTTTGCAAATTTGCAGACTACTTAGTCTTTCTCTAAACATTAAGAAAATGAAATGCTGCAGTGCACAATCAACTGCTGTGGGAGGGATAGTAATCCAACACTCTTGGGAAAACTCTGGCACTCTCTCTGCAATATAATGAAAAGAACTGTAAACAGTAGGATCAAAATGATATATTTTTTTTGTGGTTTAGAAACCATAACATTTTGTGACTTTGGTATAGCTTGATAACTGTAGCTGGCCAGTGATGAATCATAAAGCAATGTTGAACATATCTATTTACAGTTCGGCATATAAAATGTTATTTACAGTATCTTTAGAATCTCTCTCTTCTCTTATGAACTCTTGGGAAAAAAGTAAATTGCTTTTTATTGATGATTTAATTAAAGAACAAAAATTTGCCAATTGTTTCAAATGATTAACAGTTTTAAAAAAGAATAAAAATATGGTCAGTCTTATGATTGAATCTACATAAAGAAAGCATTTGGTTAGAATATTTCATAAAGATTATTTTAAGGAAAGGAAAAGAAACACCCATTTTTATATGTAAGAGAGAGCTCTCTTCACATTTCTTTCAACTGTGATCAGAAATCAGAAATGTTATATACATTTGCAATATCGTACTTTAACTGTAATATGCAATGACCTTCCACTGCACTTTAAATCGGAAAACTTCGGTTCAAGTTTTAGTTTTATTTTTTATAGTAATAGCATTGCATATCCTGCACTTGCTGTTATTGCACTTCTGGTTAGACCTTAACTGCATTTTGTTGCTTTGTACCTGTGCAATGACAATAAAGTTGAATCTAATCTAATTTAAAAATCACAATTGCATGTCTATCACACTGTAAAAACTCTGGTTTGCCATACAAAAAAATGCTGTGACAAAGTTGAATGTATCTCCTCAAATACTAAATATCTGTTCTGGTGTACATTTCCTTGTATTTAGAGCAGTTTAGTGGACTTGCATTTTGAGGCATTCTTTCCCTTTTAGATGGCCTTCCCAATAAGCCCCGAGAGGCCCCAACATTGATGAAACATTTCTCTTTTTTGTCTCCTCAGGAAAAGAAGAGTATGTTGCAACCTTCAAAGGATCTGAGTTCTTCTGCTACGACTTGTCCTTGAACCCGATTCAAAGCAGCAGTGATGAAATCACATTGTCATTCAAAACCCTACAGAGGAACGGACTAATGCTGCACACGGGCAAATCTGCAGATTACGTCAACCTGGCGCTGAAAAATGGGGCTGTGTCACTCGTCATTAATTTGGGGTCTGGAGCCTTTGAAGCTCTTGTGGAGCCAGTCAATGGAAAATTTAATGACAATGATTGGCATGATGTCAAAGTTACACGGAATCTACGTCAGGTAACAGTAAAAATGGTGATGAAAAGATTAACTAATTAAAAAAATTTAATTTACTTAAACCACTGCCATCATAGAATATTTCCCCCCAACTCTGAATTGGATAACCTAATTTAATCATTTTGATGGACACCTTAACAGGACCACAAGAGAGCAAGGACATCTAGAATTAAATTAAGACTACAATTAACTTATGATTTTCTATTTCAAACTAAAAAGCTTGGCCTGTCCACGTGGATTTCAATAGTCTCCGCAAAATTCTTTTTTAAGGATAAAAACAGATTTTTAATTTATTTTTATATTTTTTACGGGTACAAAAGATACTTCATTTGAAGATGTTATATGATAATAAAGTTGGGGTAATTATACTTAATTTTATCATCCAAAGCCCAAATATGTCTAGCTAACTTCCTGTTAGAAAATGTACATCCAAGATGAGAGTCGAAGAAAATGAAAATTTTCAACACAGGAACTCTTTCTAATGGGATCCAAACAATTTCACTTCTATTAGCTTATTTCTGTTATAATGTTTGGAATGATCACATTATTCTTACTTAATGTCAATCAAGAGTGGAAGACTAAGAAGGACAGTAAAGAGTCTTTCCAGTAGCTTTTTAATGTATTGTAGAGAGCCCCCATAATTTAATGAGCCATTGTTGGTAAACAATCAAATGTTTTACCTGTGATTTGTACCATAAATAGTCTCAGTATCCAGCTGTTCTGAGGAGGGTAACAAAATTAAATTTATTAACAAATAAATTAACCTTTGTGGTAAAAGTGAATCAATGAAAAGATTTGTTACAATCTGTTCTCTAACACAGTGAGTGGTCTGTTGACTTTTTTTGTCAAAAAAAACAATGCTTCTTTCCCAACAACATTTTTGTAGAAAAAATGCCCCAGCAGTGTAAGATCCATGACCACAGAAAAATGTTTAGTTGACACACGTATTCACCCGTTCTCTTTTCTTGTCATTGGTAATATGTTATGCAAACCACATCTGAGTAACTTAATAGTTTTAAATGTTATTTTTCTTCAAAGTAATAACTGCCCCCAAAAAGGTTCAGTAAGGACAAAAAGGTTAACAACGCTCTTCTAGGGATTATTCAGTTGGGATTTGGGATATGAGCTTAATGAGAACAGGTCGTTTCTACAGGTTAACAAGTTTAATATATTATTTGCATTTTAACAAAGTATACTTTCTTAATTTGCCGCTGATATAACATTATCTAATAAAGTTGAATATTTGTTGAAGTATACTTAAAGCTTACAAAATTGTATCTTTTGATGAATTACATTGTGTAAAAGTATAAGTACAAGAGCATTATTTAAAGTAGAGGTGCCTCTTTTCATAGTGTAGTCCTTAATTTTACTATTTATAAACTTTGTGCTTATAAAAGCATACTGGCTGGTTTATATAAAAAAGGCAGAAAAAAGTATTTAAGTATAACCATGGAAAAAATGTAAGGAATTTTTTGCTGTTCATGTATATATATTTACTAACGCAAACCTAAAAAACTTGAAGTTTATGATTTTATAAATCAAATGGTTAGGCTAGACTATTGAACTACAGGTAAACACTTTTTTTTTTTCTTGCAGTTAGCAGTTGAACACAAGAGAAAATCTCTAGATTTGTTCCTGCTCCCTTGCTGGAAAGTGTTTATCTTCACCGTAACATTAAAATGCTTAATTTCAGACTCTGCACTGTAGTTATTAACAAAGCACTGGCTCTTTACAATTTGAACTTTCACCAAATTCAAATATAAAAGAAAAAAAAAGCATACTGAATGCATGGATTATGGGGGATCAAAATATCCATCCTCCTCATTCGTTGTCAGGTCCTCTTTTCTTTGTCTCATTGCAGTAAAGTGATCCTAAAGTTCATCAGTAAGACCAAATGAAAGGTAAAGTATCAAGTGAGTGCAAAAAAAAAAAAGGTCTGATGTGCTGGATTGGGAAACTGCTGATGACTAAACAATAATAAAACATCTCTATATTTAAACAATATTAACATGTTAAAAAGGTTTTTATGAACTTTAAACATAAACCTACTTAAAGAGGGTCAATTGATGTGCTTTAGGGATTCTTTTTTAAACCATATGATATCTTAAATCATGCTGTTTTGCTCCAAACCCCTTTTTTTCTGTAATTCAGCTGCTGTTTGGCCTCAAACACTTAAGAGTTGAACTTTATAAAGAAAGTTTCAGAATCACTGGATGAGCTCTCGCTCCACTATTGGGGCATTCTTCTTATTTTTCTTGGTCAGCTTTTTTCTTGTTGAACTTATTTTGCCCTTTTATTTTCTCTATGTCACTAACATGCTTTGGAAACAAACTAACATCATTCATGGAATGTACCATTCTACTAACCAGTATGGGTTTTGTTGTTTAACAATGTGCTAACAGTATTGACCATCATATATTATTTGAGTAACAATCGTTATTCTGTTCACAGTTTTTACTTTCCTTTCTCCCCCCTTTTCCACAAAGCACTCAGGCATTGGACACGCTATGGTAAACAAACTACATTGTTCGGTAGATATCATTCTAATTGTTTCTTAGTTTGGGTTTGCCGTGTGTTTCTTTTCTTTCTTTTTTTTTATTGTAGACGTCATTTACAAAATAAGGGAAATTGCGGTTGGTACTCTTCTGCTTACTTTTCAAATTCTTTTAGTTTTATTTCTCGGTTCATTCATTGGTTTTCACTTAGTTTGTTACACCTGTTTTTTTGTCCACTTCTGTTTGGCCCACTCTTTTTTAGGAGCATCATTTTCGAGCCATTTGCAACAAGCTGTGATTAATAATCAAGACGCCCTCTTCTCTGGCTGGACTGATGCTCTGTGGCTCAGCCAGTTGTATCCCCATTCACTTTGCATGTCATCCTCTTCACGTACATGTTGGAAATGTAAAACTGCATTAGCCAACATGTATGTTACATCTGAACTGTGTTTGCTATTTCTTCCCTAGTATTTTTTGTGTTTTCCTTTTGTGCTCTAGCAGTGCTCATTAACTCTTCCATACGTTTTTGCATGTATGTGACACTGTGACAAGTATACAAAATATAATTCAGTATCCACATAAAAAAATGGGAATTGTTTCTTTTTGATTACTTTTAAACAAAAAGAAAATACAAATACATGCATGTTCTTAGTAACCTAACCTTTTTTTCCATACTAAAAGGTGACTGCATGTGTCCCCTTCTAACCTAGAGGCACGCTGTGATCTGATTTAACTACTAAATGTACTAATTTAAAATATGAGTTCAGTTTAACTAACCAAGATGACGTTATACTAACACCATTTTTGTGTCTGCTAAATTACTTTTAAGTTGCATTGAAGGCAATACTAACACTGTAGTATGGGCAGTTTACTAACTTTATGACCAAAACTGTATTCTTTTGAAGGTTTATGGTCTTCCAACTAATGAAACTGGACAAAATAATATAAAAACAAGAAAAAAGGACACTTAAATCAGACATGAAAATGGGTTTGGGATTATAAAACAGGAAAATATGGGACTGACAAAGGAAAAGGAGTAAATATGGATAATTTAGTTTGCCTCGCTATAGTATGTCCTTTCCCTGTGCTTTCTTGTATAGGTAACCATATCTGTAGATGGGATTCTGACCACCACAGGATATACACAGGAGGACTATACCATGCTGGGCTCGGATGACTTTTTCTATGTTGGAGGGAGCCCTAGTACAGCGGACCTGCCTGGATCTCCTGTTAGCAACAACTTCATGGGTTGCCTGAAGGAGGTAAACACCACTTCTATGTGAACTCTTATGACTGGTGGGTGTATGGGATGTACCACTGGCTTCACCTCAGGACATCGTAACTGGCCTTTCACACCCACACACTGCCCTTGTGTCTTTCTGAACATTCTCTTTAATTCTGCTATACCTCTTCTCTTAAAATAGTTTGATGCAAGTTTTTTGATCAACTACTCCTCTTCTACCTAATCTGTGGACATACAATATTTAAGACATAGGTTGAACCAATTCCAAGATACCTCCTAAACTCTGTCTTATTCTGGAATTTATCACTCTTCTCCAGCAGTTCTGTAAATTATACATCAAAGAAAAATACTCATGTAGAGATAAGGTAGTGAATTTTTATAAACAGTCAGGAAACACTCCCACCCCCAATGGGTCAACTACCAATCTAATATAAGGTCAAAGCAACTGTCTACCATTTTTCAAATTTTTTGAATCCTAGTCATATTTAGTGTCCACCATTTACATCTTGAAAGTGCCAGGTTGCACCTCCATTGTATATTTAGAGTTTGTGTATTTCTTTATGGTATTGATTTTACTGTAAGAAATGTTCTCATATTGAAATGATGGCTTTAAGAAATTGCTGCAGATATGAATATTACCGATCAATGAGGCCACTCTCCCGATCAATGTACTAAATTGGATTGCAATCATTGAATACCAGAGGTTTACAGTGAACTAATTGTTCAAAGAAATCTGTCGGAAATTACTTGTGACATGATGTATTATCCTTCTAGAAGTGGCTGACAGAAAACCCATCGACTTTGATCATAATGCTCAAATTAAGATACCATAATTGTGCCAAGAATAAATATCCTTCACATCATTACACCAATTTGTCTGGCAAGATTAATTAGAAGAACAATAAAAACAGGTGGAGAGCTGAGCCTCTATAACATACTAGGGTAATTTACACTGTTGTAATCCCAGTTACCGAAACTAATAGAACGAAATAAAAGGATTAGGATTTCACCACATACTAAATATGCAAAAATATGAAAAAAAAAAAAACAAGTTACATTCCAGCTCACTATTATTTACTATTATTATTTTCAGACATTCAAGTGAATGACAAATACTGGCGAGATATGACTACTTGAATATCAGTTTTCAAAAAAAGAACACCTTATGATAATGCATCAGGTGGTATGTCAGATTAGGCTTTGCTATAAATAATTTTTCATGGTGCTAGAATCAGAATTAGGGATTATATTGGGGATTCATTTATATAGAATAAAATAATTTGTTGATTAGATGCTATTATGGAAAACTTAGTGTACATTTTCAATTTCTAACTAGTTGAATCTCTTACACACCTTATCTGTAGTGTGCTGGAACTTCATCTGAAGGCTGCTGCCAAATGCTGCAGCAAGGAATCAGCTGGATTGAGAATCAAACTCCTTAATGCCTTCTGCATGTTATACTGTACAAGTTTGAGTACTCAAAAGGCCTAGTTAATGTATAATCTCTGCACAAGAGAAAGTTTTAAAGCAGATATGATTTATCAATTTTCCTTGAAAATAGTAGATTGCAAAGGAAGGCAAACAAATGCATAGATGAACAGAAAAGTAAATGAAACAATCAATGTTGTATTTTCTCTATAAATAGGATTAACCTGTTAATAATAAGAAAAGTCATTTACACAAATTATTATGAGATTTGAGAGAGTATTGATGCAGTTGGTGGATTTCTGGCTGATTCACGCCTGACCATTTCACTACATTTGCTCACTCTGAGCACCCCAGCTCAGCCTATAGTGTGAAATTGCACAGGTGCCTCTTCACAGGTCAGCCTCCTAGTATGTTGCAATGGCACATAAGATGTAGTTTAACAGCATGTGCTCTATTCCTTGACTGATGGTGTGTCCCCTTGGGGCTTTGTTGCAGTATTTGTGTGCAGACACTAGCCCGAGTTACTACAGTGTGCCTTCCCTGTTGATTCTGATGGCAAAAGAAATGGTGGTGCAGTAATAGGTCAGTTGTTACAACCACGCTTGATGAAAAATTAGTGCAGTACTACTAGCGCAGAGCAAAGCATTGCTCTGTCCAAAGCTTCTTTAACTTGAAAGGTGCCCTTTGTCTTGACTATAAAAATTGATTCTGGTGTATTTGCTATATCTGTTCCATCAAGTCCAACAGGCAGAGATAACAGAATTTTTTTTCCTTTACTACTTTATACAATTTTATTGTTGGGTTGACGTTCTGGTAATATTACTTTTTATTTCTCCAATACTAAAATACTTTACCATGAAAAAACATACAGAAGTTAAAATGAGTACACAGTGAACATATTTATTAAGGTGCTGTTAATGGGACATGTTTACAGGTGTTGGTAACACAACAGGTAAAACAAACATAGCAAGAAACAAAAACAAATAAACTCTAAATGTACTAGTAATAATGTGCAGTGGCATGGAACATTAGTAGAAAGTGAGGCAGAAAAAGGCATTGAAACAAAAAAAAAAAAAAACAGGCCGAACTTGAACATCCATAAACAAAGGACTATTTCTAGTGCTAATGGACACTAGTCTATCCAAGGCTAACTCCAGCCGATCTTTGCCAATGGACAGCAGAGGAAGTAGGGAAACCCGTAAGTGACCGTCCAAGGCAGCAATACCATGCCATTTAAAATTGACTTGTAAGAATTCTGATAGAGGACTTAAAAGTGTCATGTTTGGTTTCAGGTTCCTAACCCACGTGCAGAACACTCAGACAGGGAAAAAGTTCAAAGGTTTATTAAAGGATTTGTACAATAAACAGGTCAGGGGGTTATCAGATCCAGGACTGGTCAAGACAGGGTTCACTGCAGAGGGGGACAGAGGAGTTAGCAGAAGTCCAGGTAATATGCAGAATGTGGAGGTGCAGGTCTGTACCTGTTCTGGAGTTTGAGCAGAGCGGCAGAGGGGGGGAACCAGGAGGGCCCAGAGGCTGTCGGCAGACTGAGGGCTTGGTGGAGGCAGAGCTTGGTTTGAGTGTTTTCAGATCACAGGTTTGAGTTTCCCTTCCAGATTCTTCAGAGAGCGGGCAGGCAGGTCTTTGACTGGTTTGATTCTCCAGGGTTCTTCAGAGATCAGACAGACAGATTTCCAACAGAGAAACTCTTCAGGGTTTCTGAATTCAGACAGGTTCAACCTGGGAAGCAGAGAAGACAAAACAGATCAGGTTCAGGTTTTCAGGGAGTCAAAGATTCAGACAGGCAGGTTGGCTCAGGCTTGCTAACCATAACTGGCAAACACTCCGGCGCTGGGGTGATGTCCTCTGCCTCCTTATATACTGGTCTCCTGATGAGCAAACGAGCAACAGGTGGTGCAATCAGCTCCAGCTCCAGGAGACCCAGAACGCCCTCAGGAGGAATCCTTGGCGCCCTCTGGTGGGCAAAAGTGGACAGACCTCCAGATCCCAACAAAAAGAATTATCGGAGAAGTTTTTCAAGAGCCTACTTTCATTTTTGGAGAGTTTAAGAAAGACCTAGAATGACACAGTAAACAAAAACCATCCCCTCAAAAATTGTCAAAGAGACTACTTTCACCTGTGGTGAGCCTAAAAAAGACTTGGAATCATATCAAAGAAAACAATAAGCAATGTACTCTACAGCCATGGCTGTATAGATGCTCACGACACAAGACTCCATTTCTGAAAAAACAGTTTTGCATAAAGGTTGCTACACAATATTTTGACAAGCCTTTAAAATACTGGGAGAACACAGTCTCATCAAATTAAAGCAAGATTGAAGTCTTTGGATGCCCCTCATACACACTGGAACGCATTGCTGCTAAATGCACTAACTAATCAGTGAACATGTCTACATGTCAGCTGAGATAAAGAAGAGAGAACATATAGTAAGAGGTTGAACTAACAAACAGTGCAGAATTGGAGAATAAAAAATTATATAACGTAGGTCCTATGTTCCCCAGCAGCCTAACAACATTTAAAGGTTTAAGCCTAGTCATAAAAGTAGACAGGTTGTCTACTTTAACTGGTCTTTAGTTCCACAGTAGAGGAATCTGATAACTAAAAAAGCTGCCTCTCATAGTTTTAGAAATTCAAGGAACCTTCAGAAAACCTGCTCTTTGAAGCACACTGTTAGCTTTTTTTTTTTTTTTTTTTTTTTTAACTATTTTTGAAACTGAATAACATTTTCTGTCTTTCAGGTTTCTATGTCTTCAAGATTTGTCTGTAGTATATGTTATAGGTTAGCTCATCCGGATTTAAGGACAAATATAGAGTATCATCAGCATAAAAATGTAAATTATTCCAAACGTTACACTGATAGGGAGCAGGTATATTGCCCCATAGGAAGCCCTGGAGCTTTCATAATGTTTGTGACGCACACAAAAATAAAACAAAGAAGGAAGATGATGTTCCAGTCAGAAATTTGTAGTATGTGTGGAATTAATGTCTGGTTACAGTTTACTAGGAGAAAAATAATATTTGATTAGTGGTAAAGGATGGCTTATAGAGCTTATAAAGCGTTTGACACGGTTGATCATGATGTTCTAAAGATTAGGCTTCTTAAATCAGGGTTTTCAAAGAAAACTGTCTCTTGGTTTTCAAACTATCTTAGTGACAGAACTCAGTGCATTAAGCATGATGGTGTTCAATCTGGTATTTTACCAATCTTT